TCAGTCATCTCTGCTGGTTGTCCTCAGCTATCGAAACTTCTCCCTGTGCCAGACCCGGTCCTATCGCTAGGCTGTAGTGGTGAGCAGGATACACTCTGCTCTCACAGAGCTGGGCAAGGCGGGGGTGGAATAGAAACAGAAACTTTGATGAAAACAAAGTTTATTTATCTGGAAGGCAGAGTTACAGAAAAGAGAGAGATCTTCCATCCACTGGTTCACTCCCCAGACGGCTGCATCAGCCAGGTCTGGTCTATGTTGAAACCAGGAGCCTGGAACTCCATCCGTGTCTTCCTCTTGGAGTGTCAGGGACCCAAGTCCTTGGGGGTGTCTGTCCCAGGTGTATTAGCCAGGAGCTATATTGAGAGCGGGGCAGCCAAGATTTAAACTCATGCTCTGATAAAGGATTCTGTCATCAGAGGTGGCAGCTTAACCCACTGCAACCACAGCTTGAGCCCCAGGAGTTTCATGTGGTGTTCACCCAGCATCTGGGCTGGGTGGTGCTAACCAGGAATCTAGTTAACCTTTAAACACTTTGCAGGTTGGTGTGAAGGGAGTCACAGTGTGGAGTCCCTGATGTTGGCAGCAGGGGAAGGCCATGGTGGGTTTCCCATATGTTTGCAGTTGGAGCCTTTGGGCCTTGGTGAGGGGGTGGGGCAGGCATATGGAAAGGAGAGGTACCAAGTACACTTCCTGGTTAAGATCCTGGCTTCCCTGCCACTCTGGCAGGTGTGTGACTCTGTGCACAGGTGAGAGGAGCTGGAGGAGCCGGGCTTGTTCAGAGTCACAGGATGGCCCGAGGACCCTGGGGAGACTCCAGGCTGGCTACAGCTGACGCCAGAACTCAGGCTGCTTTCCCAGTGTGGGAGGGACAGGGATCACAATTAATGATAATAAAAATGCAAATAGCCCTGGCAAGAAGAGCTCTTTCAGCCCCGAGAGAACTACTGTGCAGACACTGGGGATATTGCCAGCCTGGGAGATGGCACAGGCATCTGAGAGAGCGTGTGGGGGAGTGCCAGGGGCTGGGCGCCGGGGTCCCTTCTGTTTCTTCCGTCTCTCCTCCCATGACTTCCATTTGAGAGCATGGAGCAGGACAGGAGATCTCTTGAGAGGCACGTCCCAATGAGCTTGATGACATAGTGTATACATGCACACACACACACAAACACACAGCTTCAACTGCTTGGCACTGACATGCAGGGTCCACAAGGCCACCAGTTAAGTACTCAACACAGCACTGTATACCTGCACAGTATCTTCATGCTCCTACCGTTTGCAAGTTGTTTGGAGTTGCTGTAGAGGGCAGGGATGGTGCCGGCGGCCAGGGGGTCTATCTGGGGCTCTCAGAAGTCCTGTTGCTTCTTGAGCTTGCCTCTTCTGCCCAGGGTCTGCACTCCTGCAGGAAGGGTTCTAGAGCCGCTGGCATCCTGCTCCAGCTGGGCATTTCAGAGCAGGGGGTAGGGGATGAGCCCCTTATTGAGCACCTTCTGTATACCCGGCACAGTTTCTCTGTGGCAAACATCATCCTTGCTGTTTTGCAATGAGAGATCTCAGAGCACCCTTGGGAGGTGGGGACTAGGGCTACCCCAGCTTTCCAGTTGTGGGTGCCAGAGCCTTGGGGAGCTGGTTGTGATTGGCCTGAGGCTGTGGTGCTGGCTAGGGGACGGGACAGGTGTTAGAGCCGGCAAGGAAATGCCAAGTCCATGTTCTCAGCGTGCCCCCATCACCAGCCCCCCACAAACCTGAGAAATGCTGGGGAGAAGACAGACCCATCTCTCAGAGCCTTGGCCGTCTCAGGAGTCTCCTTGGGACTCTCAAGGGAAACTCCCTGTGTCTGTGCGGACAGGCAGGCTTGCTTTACAGCCCCAGGCGCCTCATGACATGCTCCTCGTGAGGACCCCCGAAAATCATGGCTGGGTGCAGTCAGGGGCACTTAGAGGCTCTGCTGAGAGACAGCTGGGATGTGCGACAGGATCACTCCACGAGCGGGTCTACTCAGAGGCAAGTGTGGTTGTTCAGGCGCTCCCTGCAGTTAGGGCTGTCTCCCCCTCAGACCGGGGCTCCCTGAGGACAGGGCTGTGTCTCCCCCTCAGACGGGCTCACTGAGGGTGGGGCTGTGTCTCCCCCTCATACTGGAGCTCCCTGAAAATGGGGCTGTGTCTCCCCCTCAGACTGAGGCTCTGGCTGTGTCTCCCCCTCAGACTGGGGCTCCCTGAGTATGGGGCTGTGTCTCCCCCCTCAGACTGCGTGTGGCTCCCTGAGGACCAGGCTGTATCTCCACCTTCCGTCTGGAGCCCCTAGTTGGAGATGTTATTCTCAGGCCCTTCCTCTGCACCTGCCCAGGGCTCATCTCTCGTTCTGGTGCCTTCTCCCTTTGCTGGCGCCTGCTGGCTCTGACCTCACAGCCCAAGGGCTGCCCACCGCTGTCTGGATGCCTCTGAGTGGGGCCCTCCCTCAGCTCGGCTTGCCTGGCCTTGATTTCAGGAACAAAAGCAGCCAGGCTGCAGGCTGCTCTGCGGACAGCGGAAGGGTTTTATGGTCTTTGGGGGGGAAAAAGTACATTTTGCCTGTTGGAAAAAAAAAAAAAAAACTCTGTTTGAGCTCGACAGAGACAGCAAGCAGAAGAAAAGCACTTAGGGTCTGGGCTCGCCCGTGGCCTTGTGGTCAGGCCTGCACAGGGCAACAGAGCTGGTGCCTCCCAGGCTGCAGGAAGCTGTGTGTTACAGGCCACACCCTGCTGCTCTGGGCCTGGGAATGGGCAAGGGATGCACACAGGTGCAGATTGTCTGTGACTTGGCAGGAGGAAGCTGAGGCCATGGAGGTGCAGGTGGTTCATGCTGCCCTTCTGCCCATGTTGGCCCGAGCATCCCCTGGAGCAGAGATGGCCCTACCCAGCAGCAGGCTGACGGTGCCAGACCCGGCTGGCAGCCTGTCCTAAGGCTTCACAATCTAATGGCGCCCCCGGACTGCTTTTAGCCCCTGCTTTATGGATGAGGAAACTGAGACACAAGGGAAGCAAGGTGCCTGTCCGGAGCTGGGATATGAGCCCAGCATGGCTGACCATGCCCTTAACCTTCCTCCCTGCAGCCAGGACGAAGCATGACCTGAACAGGAATGGGCACCTGCCAGGGAGAGCGGCAAGGGCTGCACTCACCGGGTCACTCTTCTGGGTCAGGTGCCAAGTGGGGCTGTGCCAGGAGCATCTCACAGCCTGTGAGTCAGATGCACACACATACACACACACTTTTGCATCCTGAGGTAAGCTGGGTCCTGTGGTGGGGCAAAGGGTGACCCACTCCAGGCAGAAGAGCTCAGGGAAAGACTCGGTTGTTGGTCAGTATCCAGGAAATTGAGGAGGAGAGCCAAGAATGTTCTGGAAGTATGGCAGGAATAATTTCGGTGGTGTTGAGTATATATTGTTAGGGTGATCCAGGCCCCAGGACACTGAGAACTGCAGACAGCTTGATTCTGTGACTTACCTGGCTGAGAAGCAGGCAGGACCAAAAAAAGCCACATTTGCTTTTCTTTGAAGATAATGCACAACTGTCTCTCATCCACACAACACACATCCTAGACTGAAACTCAGGGAGTCACTATTTCTTACTAGTTAGACATGACTTTCCTGAGTTTGAGGTGCAGCTGTGGAGGCCAGATCTCCCTGCTGGTCCCTGTGCCCAGCTTTCCTGATCTGTCAGGGGAGAGGGCCCCTCTGAGGGCCTCTCCGGCTTGACCATCGAGGATCTCGTGCAATCATAGAATTTCCTTTTAGATTGCAAAGGCAATTCCTGCTTTTGTTTGTCACATTCAGCTCTTCCCACTGTGATCCCATGCCTCAGGACCCTCCACGGTGGATTCTTCTTTGAGGTGAGGGTAATTCGTGGGTGCTGAAATCAAGGCAGACACCCCTGTCTCTGGATCCAATATGCTGCAAGACAGCCAGTCTAGAGAGAAGCTGGCCTCACTCGGTGGGACTGGTTACAGGTGCCTGTGGTATATCGCGTGGTGCCCCTGGCATTTCATCAAGGCCTTGTCTGATGGCTTCTGAGTGACAGCTGGCAGGAGGGCCCTGGGAACCAGCAAGAAGGGCCGTGTGCGGTGAGATAAGCTGTTGGTGGGATAAGCTGTTGGTGGGGAGACTGTCTTTGGGGAGAGGCCCCTGAGTGGGGATGCAGGGGAGAGTTCTTCCAGTTCCCCACTAGCTGTCTGGGGACCCCTCTCTTAGGCTGCATCATTGAGAACACACTGAGGAACAGGACCTGGGCCATCCCGGAGTCTGTGGACACCCATGTTAGCACCTGCTGCTGCGGTCACCTGTGAGGAAGGCAGCCTTGGGCTCCCACCTCGAGGTGGGGGTAGAGATGGCAGGTGCACTGGGAGGTCAGATTGTGCTTGCTCATGGCCTCAGGGGTGGTGACTCAGGACAAGACTTCCTTCTAGACTTTTCTGCTTCTACCACTGCTGGTGGAGATTGGAGTATGGCAGCATCAAGAGAGGGTGGACCAGATGATCCTGAGGGCTCTTCCTGTTTGACTGTCAGGGTCTAGTGTTAGCCCTGACCCTTGACCATAGAAGGACTCTGTTTCAACCAGTCCGTGTCCCGAGGGAGGTGTAGCTCGTTAATCCACAGGGGCTGGGGATTGAAGGTAATGGCTTGGAGTGGTGAATGCTGGACAGGGTAGCAACGTTCTTATTGCTTGATTTAAATTTGGGGGATGTCTTTTTGTTGTTGTTGAGAGAGACAATGGTAAAAAAAAGAAGGGGCTAGCACATTAAACACATTAGGATTTGGCCCCAAAAGCAAGCAGCTGATGTAATACGGGACACTGGCTTACCCATCCTTGGAATATGCCACATAGGGAGGCCACTGACCTCGGGGAGTTGAGGCCTCAGGCTTCCAGAGCATGTCTAGCATCTGCAATGACAAAGTCAACAAAAGGAGCTGCCTTCTATCTGTCTGCCTGCTGGTCACAGCCTCTGACTCTGCTCTCCCCCTCTTTCAGGAACCTTCTGGACAAAGACATGTTCTCCAAGTCTGACCCACGTAAGTCCTGCCCCGACCACAGTCACAGCGGCCAGCACCTTGGCCCAGGCCCAGAGCTCACTGTGCTGGCCGCTCTTCCACATGGTTGAGATTTTCCCTATGGAGTCTGCAGACAGAGCCCAAGGGTGGGAAGGGGAGTGCACCTTCCCAGCCCCCACACTTGTGAAACCTCAACTCAACAGAGCCTATAGGGAGGGGGTGGGGTGTCTGGGCCAGGCCTCAGCATACTCCGTGTGTTGGCCAGGGACTAGTGGGTGCACTGACATGGGAGTCCAGGGCTATAGCCCCAAGAAGTAGCACCTGCGTGTGCAATGAGTATAGATAGATGGGTCTTAGGCCTTCTCTGTGCCTCAGTTTCCCCACCTGTAAAGTGGGGCTGATGATCATCATAGAACTCAAGAGGCTGCTTTGGGCCCTAAAGAAGCAGGGTGTGGCTCTGGTGTGCTCCCACCAGGCCCCATGCCACTCCAAGTCCCCCCTCTGTTTCCCTGCCTTCAGGCAGACACTCAGAGCCTTGCTGTGGCGTGGTACCGAATGACCCTGACACACCCCTTGCCCCTGCCCAGGTGCCCCTTCCAGACACACCTGTGTTCCAGGCCCCTTCTCCAAAGCGGTGCCTCCAGGACCAGTTGGGGGCTGGACTCTTAGACCTCCTCACTAAAACCCCAGCCCCTTGAGCAGACTCTCCCCAGCAAACTTCACAAGTGTGGCCTGGGCTGGAGTGGCCTGAGCCACCTGCCCCATCCAGGCCCTCAGTCTTTGAGGTCTCCACCTTTCTGCTGGCCTGGGACATTAACCCATGCTTTTCTTCTCCCTCCAGTGTGCGTCATGTATACACAAGGGATGGAGAACAAGCAGTGGCGGGAGGTAGGTACAGCCCTTCTCTGGCCCAGAGGTATGTCAGCCATCCCTAGCTGCCTGTCTGTCCCTCCCTGATGCTGGAGATATCCCTGCGTGACCCACAGCAGGCTGCTGAGACATGCAAGGGGGTGGGAGGAGAGCTACTGGAGGAAAACGCATGGTCCCCACCGGCAGGGGCCCCCAGCCTGATGGGAAGATCAAGGACATCCAGACCTGTCAATCACTCGACAGACAACTGCCTTGTCTGGAGGCTTAAGACATGAGCACAGTATGCTGCACTGCGTCTATCATTGTGCAGGCTTCCCAGAGTGGTGATTTTGGGTGAAGCCCCTGCTCAGCCACCTGCAGTGGCTCCCTCCCGCCTACAGCAAAGGCCCATCTCTCCACCCTGGTGCCAGCTCCTCCACCCAACCTCCAGGAAAGCCGCTTATGTAGGGGAGGGTCTCCCCTTCACGCCAGAACCCATTATGATGGGGTCTGTGAGGAGAGGGCAGACTTGGGGCTCATAGTCAGCCCCCTACCCTGCAGCCAGAGAGACCCTATTAAACCCAAGTCATATTCTGTCCCTCTCCTTAGAGGTCCTGATTGGCACTCTCTTGCTAGACCACAGTCCCGGTGCCAGCCTGCCTGGCCTGGACCCAGTCCTGTCTTCCCTCCTGGACTAATTAGCCCCATGCTTATGCCCCATCATGCCTTCGACACAATCCTCCACACAGGTCCTTTGAACTTGCTGTCCCTGCTATCCAGATGTTCTTCTCCCTCCTGTCCCTGCGACCCCCCCCCCGCCCCCCGCATTCCTCAGGTCACTCTGCAGCAGCTTTCCCAGGCCACCCATCTGACACTGGGACCTCTCCACACCTACTCTGCCTTCCTTCCTTGGTTCCCATGTTTGGCTTACCACGTGATGCCATCTGTCATGCCCGGCTCCGACATTGTTTGTGGAGATCATGTGTTATCTCCTTTATTCACTGTACGATGTTGAGCATCTAGAGTGTGTCTAGCATGCAGTGGGTGCTTAATACATGATGGCTAAGGGGATGAGAGGCCCGGGAAAGGCTGACAGGGAGGTGGCGCTTGTGATCTTGGCCCCACCTTGGCCTCACTTCCCACTTGCTGAGGCCCTGGGGGAGATGGGAGACTGTCTGCAGGTGCATACGGCCAAGGGGTTATGGGTTGGGATGTTGGATCCTGGGATGAGCTCACGGGATCTCCGAGCCCAGGCTACCTTCTGGTGGTGTCTGGAAACTGAGCTTACCCCTCCTCTTCTTCCAAGTGTTCAAAGGCCCAAGAATGGGGTAAAGTAGACAAGAATGATTGAGGCTGGGCCTACTGCTGGGCCTTGGCAGCTGCACTTATGTCCTTCCCCACAGATGTCTGGGATGAAGGCTTGTAGGCTCTGGAGAGGGAGGTCCCAGTGGCTGATGCAAGGGGCACAGTGGTAGGACGCATGCCAGGTGCCCAGTGTGCATGGAAAGGGCAAAAAGGTGAGACCCACAGGAGCACGACACAAGTGCTGTGACCTCAGGCTTTGTTCCCAGGCTGGTCCTTACTCCTCCTCCTCCTCTGTTCAAAGGCCAGTCCTCCCCGACCCCAGCACCTGCTACCACCTGAGCAGTGCCTGAAGGAGCTGAATTTGATTCAGAAAATGTGGAAGATACTTTGCATGGGGGCACTGAGGTGAAACTGGCTTTCCCACCTTCTTCTGGACTCTGAGTTGCAAGCCAGCCTGCGAGGGGACAGGGTAGTCTGCTTAAGTGGACTGATGACTTCTTCTGAGGCCTTTGGGCCAGGCTGCCTGGCACCTGGGCCTGTGCTAATGACTCCTCGTGATTTGTTATGGAAAGCCTACAAAGACCCTGCTTGCCAGCTTGCGAGCCATTAACTGCATTCTGTAATTGAGATTTATCAGGGTCTCCGTTGCACCTGGGTGACCCCATATTCTCACAGGGCTGAGTAGAAGGGAAGGAGTGGCTAGGGTGCTGCTGCCTACACCCATGGCTCACTCCTAGCCCCAGTCCAGCCCCAGAGATGGGACCTGGGGCTAGCTACTTAACCTCTCCATGCCTATTCCCACACCTAGGACTCGGGGAGAATGCCCACCTTGTTGGCCTGTGGTGGGGTGAGACAAGGAAGTGGAGATCCTAAGGCATCATCCTTGCTGAGACTTGTGAAATACTGGGCCCTGTGCACCACCGGCCTCGGTCAACATTGACAACAGTAGGCATCTATGCAGTGCTGGCCATTGTACTAGGGTCTGGGGGTAAGAAGGGCGTGGATGGAAAGAAAAGCACTTCAGTAGAAGCGTCAGTTGGGACTAGGCAGTCCCAGCCTGCGGGTGTGTGTGTGTGTGTGTGTGTGTGTGTGTGTGTGTGTGTTTGTACTGACCCTAACAGGAACAGAGGAGTACAGATAGAATAAAACGAGTGTCCAGGGGAGAGAATGCCCAGCAAAAGTGTCACATTTGAAAAACAAAATAATTGAAAGGCAGAATGACTCAGAGATAAGGAGAGACACAGAGAGACTCTTTCCCCCAGTAGCCACAACAGCCAGGGCAAAGACAGGTGAGTCATGGGCTAGCAAGAGTCGGGAGCCATGACTGTTCCAGACAGGGCCAGTCAACTCTGGGGAGCCTCCCTCTCCCGCCACCACCCCATGTTCCCGATTTCTGGCTGGGGCTCCTGTTAGTGGAACCTTACTATAGTCCCCTGGCACAAAACAGTGTGGAGTGAGGGTGGCTCCTGCATGCAGGGGGAGTCAAGGAGGGGCCGCAGAAGGGAGCTCGTGGGTAGGAACTGAGGGCAGCCCGAGTTCTTGGTGAATATCCTGCTGGGTCCCTGAGGCTGAGCTCCCTTGCACGAGGCCATCAGGGCCTGTGCTGTGAGGGGGTGATGGGAGCAGAGCTTGGCGCTATTTCTGGAGCAGGGAAGATGCATTTACACAGATTGGGAGTGGGCGGAGGGCCTGGCCTTCTCCTTTGTGACCTGCATCGGAAAAAGTATCAGGAACGGAGACATGTAGAGAAGAACCCAGATCCAGTTCTTTGGACCTGCCCCTGGGAGTGCAGCCTAACCTTGCCAAGGAACAGCAGCCAGCGCTCGCCACCCCACCTGCCAGCTCACTGTCCTCAGGGGAGCGGCTGCCTTTCTCAGTTATCAGAGTCCTGGCTGAGAGCTAATCGTCCTGTGACCAGGGGGAGCTGAACGCAGGCACGGCAGCGCCTGCAGGCGGAGCTCAGGCCTCCGAGGAGCCAGGCCCACAGTCCCCGTGAGGATCAAAGCTGCTGCTGTGGCCCCTGGCTGCCTGGTTGTGGCTGATTTTAACCGTTCGGGTCACGTCCATGCCTTCTGAGAAAGCTTCATCTTCCCAGCACCTAAATCTGTCACTGCGTTTTATGAAAATTGACTCAGATATAATTTTAGTCAAGAAAATCGAGTGCTATTTGCATCAGGACCTACCAGGGCTGCTAGCTGACCAGGCCGGCAGAGCCTCGGAAACACACGGGGCTGGACACAGGGACACACCCTAGAGGGCGACCAGTGCCCACACTCCCCTACCCACAAGGCCATGCTCACGGAACCTGTTTTCTATGCAATCTCAGCCTATTTAACATTTTACCATTAGCTGGGAACAGCAGACCCTCTCTAAACTTTTGGAATGCTGTTCCTGGAGTGACCTGGGGTACATGGCTGCCAAACAGCAGTCATTGGTTTTTCCTAAGTTCTGGAATTTGGGAAGCTCAGGATCCAGATGCCAGCAGCATTGCTGTCCGATGAGGGACCATCCAGTCTCTTGCACAGGCCGCTTGGGGCCTCTGTGTAAGGGCACTGTCCTGTTCATGAGGGCTGCACCTCACGGCCTCATTAATTCCCCAAGGACCCTCTCCCCAATACCTTCCCCCTGGACAGCTGGAGGACACACACACTCTGATACCAGCAGGTACCTACTGTGTGCCAGAAGAGGAATGTGGGAGGCCAGAGGACTGGACATTGTCCACAATTAGAGGAGCTTGCTTCCTTTCAAGGAGGTGATGATAAAATAGCTATAATCCCAACATTCACATAGCAGGCATGTGGCAGGCAGTGTGGTAAGCACTTCCTGTGTCTGAACTCACCGAGTGCTCACAGCAACACTGTGAAGGAGGTGTTACTAGCATTTGTTCATTCCCTTTGCACTGGGTCAGGCCGATCCGAAGCTGGAGCCGAATTTCTGCTGGGTCTCCTACATGGGTGTCGGCAGCTCATCATTTAGGGCTTCTTCCACTGCTTCTCCAGGGCCATGTGGAGCAGCTAGGATTTAGCCCGTATGAGATGCCAGCCTCAAAGATGGTTGTCTGGGTGGGCGATGAGGAGTTAGTGGAGTGGAGTGCTGTGAGTTTCTGCTAGTCGGGCCTGTAGAGCAACCTGTTCAGCCATGGTAATGTAGTCGCAATCCAGTTGGCACTCATGATTTCCCTAACTGCTCCCTAAGGACATCATGAACAATAGTTAGAAGCTTTGTCAGATGACCCCTGGACTAAACTGTGGGACCCCACTGATGATGTTTACCAACTCTGTTCCCTGGGCATGGTATTTATCTTCTCTAACTCCCAGCTTAACTCCATTGTAACCTAGGGCTAAGAGACCTCTGAAGATGGATTAAAGGGATACTTGTGAAAACTCCTGGAAATAGGAATTGCCATGGGCCATTGCCATCAATGGGACCACCTGAGTCCATGAGCCCCTACTCACAGCTAACAATTAAATTTTACAAATTATTTATATTTATTTGAAGGACAGAGAGTGTTCCAGAGAGGGTCTTCTCCTCCCAAATGCTCCCGGATAGCAGGGCAGTCCAGACTGACGCCAGGAGCCTGGAACTTCCATCTGGGTCTCCTACAAGGGTGGCAGGAACCCAACTCCTGAAGGCATCGTCTCTCACCTCACATTAGCAGGAAATTAGAATCAGAAATGGAGCTGAGACTCAAGCCCAGGCACCCTTCCACATGGGACACAGTGTCTTTTATTTTA